CATATTATGAATTATTATAAAATAGTTGAGTCTGTGATTTCAAAGATCATACTTGAAGACATATCGCCTAAGAGCAAATCCATAATAAATATATACATTGGCTGTTATTAATTTGGTAGCTTCATGAGGTTTTGAACTGCAAAACTGAAGGCTGAAAGAAGGGCTTGATATTTGTGCTACATCATAGGTTAATTGTGTCTGTTAGATAAACCGCAATTAGCCATATTCATTCCACATACTAAATCATAAACCATAGTTTATGATTCACTAATAGCTGGGTTCATACTGCATGTTATAGTGCAATATGTTGTAGTTATCTTTGGCCTAGCAAATTGTATGAACATTGCCATCTGATGGTGACAAAATAGGAAGATTCCTTAGAAGCATTTTTGTATCATTTTTTTCATTGTCTATTCAAAGAAACTGCATAATGTCATTATTCTGGACATTCCCACTATTTTGACCATATAGGTAGTCCTCGACTTAAAACCATTTGCTCAGTAACCATTCAAAATTACAACTGCACGGACAAAAGTGACTTGTAACTGATTCTCACACTTACAACTGTCACGGCATCCCAACAGTCACATAATCAAAATTTGGGTGCAACTGGCATGTATTTACTTTTGTACATATTGTACTGCCCCAGGGTGATGTGATCACCATTTGCGACCTTCTCAGCTGGTTTCCGAGAACCAAGTCAGTGGGGGAGGTTGAATTTGCTGTGATTCACTTAAATAACTGCATTGATCCACTTATGAACAGTGTCAAAAAAAAAAAAAAAAGATTGTAAAATTGGACACAAGTTACTTAACAACCATCTTTCTTAGTAATGGAAATTCTGATTCCAGTTGTGATCCTAAGTTGAGGACTACCTGTGTTCACTTTCTCCTTGATTGGGCAACATATGGTTCCTGAAATTTCCCTAAATTTAATCTGCAGCCCCTGACGAAAGTTACCAGACACCTGACTAGGCAAAGGAGGATACGGACAACTGGAAAAGAAGACACCCCAGCTTCCAAATTTGACATCTATGACAAAAATTATAGCAAAAAAACAACAATTAGGTCTATATGTATTCAAAATTATATTTTCTAGTTTCAGAAAACTAGTTTTCTAATCACAATAATTTTCCAATGAATCTTTATTGTTAGCAATTACATAGACTTGACAACGAAGTGCTTTTTAAATTTTATTCCAGAAATGTATGATGAGTCATGTAATCTACAGACCACAGTGACCATATATTTGAAGGTGTTGCATTAAAGCCAGTTGCTGGAACCAGGAAGCAAATTAACATGTAAATATAGGCCATTGAGTCTTGTCAATGGACAAAGGAATAAAAGCAGTAGACAATTTAGAAGAGCACACTATACAAAAGATTGAATGACTACTGTAGTGAAAATTCAAAAAGCCAGACAATATTGATTTTAGGCTAAGCTTGCCAAAATGGAGAACATGAGGTAATGCTCTCCTTTTGCTGGACATTGCCCCACCTAAGTGTACCTGCGGGGTAGTTGTCCTGCTTAACTTTACAAAGGGCTTGGTTGGAGGTGTGGCAAGAAATCTTTATATTAATCACCTAAGAGTACAGCATTAACTCTGCTGGAAAGGGGAAATGGGCTGAGGTTAGACAATCAGCCTTTCCTAATACCAGCATCCTACAGTGTAAAAATCCCTCTTGCTGATGGGAGTTACATTCCACACATTAGCTTTAATGCTGGTCAAAGATGATAGCAGAGAAATAGTTCTACACAATATCTGAGGAAGGCAGAACTATTGTTTGAAAAAGGGAAACTGACTTAGTGGTAACTGAAGTCATTACAGAATGAATTAGTTTCAAAATGCTAATACAGTTTAGGCATAAGATCTGAATTGTGGATTTCCTGCTTCATAGATCAATTTCCAATAAGGTGGCATTCCTGAAGTTCTTTCCCAAGAAGCTTTCCATCTTTTCCAACTAATTGAATGCAAGCTCTGTTTAAAAGAAAGCATCTCTTTGTATGATAATGTATAGTAGAAAATTCATATAAGTGTTCTTACATTAAAATGTCTACCGTATTCGCTATAGTAAATATTTAGTCAATCTCTCTAATAAACCAGTAGGGGCTAGAATATCTCTGAGCCTTGTCCAAAGGAGAAGGCAACTGATATGGAAGAGGTTCTTGTAAATGTGTTACTTGTTGGCAGTATGAACGGGGTCTTGAATTACAGTATACGGAACACTTAATAGAAATGGAAACCAGCCATATCTCACCTGCAAGCAAAGAAATTTAATTCAAATACAGTAATTAAAAGACATTTATGTCTTGACATTTGTAGCCACTGTCCCAATGATTTTAATGTGAATGTTCCTCTATGGCAAGTTGCAGTGGGTCTTATTACTAGATGCAGGGAAGAAAACCTGGAGACAATTCAATATACAGTATGTAGTTCCCACTTCTCTATTATATTATTGCAAAGCTACTGAAAACCACATTTTGTAGAATGTCAAAACTGACGTGTCTGCTTTTGTCTGAGTAAAGGAAGGGGAAATACATTTGATTTGTACCAAAGAAGAGATTTACAAACATATGGTCTTTATATTCTGCCTGGTCTTTGGTTGGTCAAAACCAGAACTGATGGCTCTATCTGTAAGCTGCTTTCCAAAGGCGATTTGGAAGGTTTGTTTTCTATTCCCCAGCAGCTCTGCCCAAGTGCTCTAAAGTAGTTTGGAGGAAGAGAAATACTTGCATCTTTTATAGAGAGTACACATAAATCCTCGATTAATTCAGTGACTTGAAAATACAACCAGTCAAAGCTCCAGATATCCCAACACCCCCATGACCACGTAAACATGATCTTGGCACTTGGCAACCACTTCATATGAGTTGCAGAATCCCATGGTTGCATAATCATGATATGCAATTTTCCCTTGCCAGATTCCCACAATCAAAATCAATGAATGCCTAGCGAGTTTAATTTCTATGCATTCGTTCTGGTAATGTCCATGTACAAAGATGTTTTGGTTGTTTGAAAACAGTCTGAGCTTTGAAAGTATGTTCGGAGTGGCAGAAATTGATAAGTCAGTCTCCTGCTTCATTTCAGTTTCCTAAGCCATACAGTCAGTTTCATTACATTATCTTCTTTCGTGTTTCCAACCTCAATATTCCAGTCACAAGCAGCACAGCTTCATATATGAACAGACTATGCATCAGTAGTTAGAGCATAAACATGGATGTTTATATTTTCTATCAATGTGGTTTACCATTGCCTTTTTCCACACAGTATGGATTGAAAGTTATATGTTTCGCATCTTCCTATATCACTGTGGCACAATAACAATAGCCTTTAGGATTATATACCACTTCACAGTGCTTTACAGCCCTCTCTAAATGATTTAGAGTCAGTACTGCCCCCAACAATCTGGGTCCTCATTTTACCGACCTTGGAAGGATGGAAGGCTGAGTCAACCTTGAGCTGGTGAGACTCGAATTGCTGAACTGCTGGCAGTCGGCAGTCAGCAGAATTAGCCTGCAATAGTGCATTTTAACCACTGCATCACCACAGCTCTTAGGTGCCTTGCAATCAAAATAACACTTATATACCTGTTCATAGTGCTTTACAGTACTTTTTAAGCAGTTTGAGAGTCAGCATATTGCCCGCCTTCCCCCCCCCCAAATAATACGGCTCCTCGTTTTACTGATCTTGGAAGGATGGAAGGGGGAGTCAACCTTGAGCTGGTCAGGATAGAACTATATATTTGATAGATAGGATGATCATCAATAGAATAGAATTCTTTTATTGGTCAAGTGTGATTGGACACACAAGGAATTTGTCTTGGTGCAAATGCTCTCAGTGTATATAAAAGAAAAGAAGGATCACATCTGATCTTCCTAGAAATTTCTTGGTGCACACTTCAACATGATTACCCATCCCTCTCAGAAATGTCCCTCACACATACCCCAGCCACAATTAAGCAGAACAGGATATGGGGAGGAGGGCAATATATGCATACACTAAATGAAAAATGTCAGGGCAGGTAGGGAATCCTAACATGAGTATTGTTTTGCTTAGTATTTCATTACTTCCACAAACTAGGAATAAACAGGGTGAACATTTAAGGAGACCTGCTGGATTAGTCTAAAGGTCAATTTAATCTGGCATTCTTTTACCATAGCAACTACAAAATTGTCTTCTGAAAACCTCTATAATTATTTTCTCTTCCTTTGTTATCCTAAATACAGAGCCCTGGACATTGCAAACTTTTTTTGAATCAGTTGTTCATTATTTCTCTCAAGTTGCCTGTTGGTTTTTTAATACCATTTTTGACATACATCGAGAGGTTTGAAAAGCTACACAAACTGATGATGCAGCCGATTCACCAGAGCAGATCAGAATTAATGTGGGCAATCAATACCTGACATAGAAATGGAGTTCTATGTTCATCTGTCCAAAGCAAAATAGAATTGTAGAACTAGAATTTGGAGTCGCATGTTAGGATATGAGAACCGTCCCAGTTATTTATGTGGCTAAGTAAAATGCACAATGAAATTATGCAAATCTTTATTGTAAGCTGGGACAGCAATGGCTCCTAACATAGGCAGAATAGAGGTGATTAAAAGCATCCTATGGCCGTGTTGGCAAAGCAGGTTGAGTAAAGCCGCATTAAATGAGTTATAAAAAGGGGCCCTTTTTGTACAGAAACGGGTTTTGGAAGAGAAACCTCTTCAGAGCTGGCTGCTGTCGCGCAACGTCCCTCCGGCATCCGCGCACGAAGGCCTGCCAGCCGCTCTCCTTCCATCGCGCATGCGCGTCACCATGAGCCAAAAGGAGGACAAGCGCGTCCTCTCAGTTCTCCGACACGCCCGCTTCCTCTCAACTCCCGTCACACACCCCTTCGGGACCTTGGCGCCCGGCCACGCCCCCTTCCCGCCTGTGACCCGAGCAGGGGCGGCTCCTCCTCCGTCAACACCACACCCATTCCTATTACGGCTCGTTCCAACGCCACGCCCCTCGGCTTCCCCACCCATCCCGACTGGCCTGGGCAGCAAGCGGCGGTTGGAGAAAGCCCCGGAGGGCAGCGCGAGGGCTGAAGAGGGGAGGGGGCGGGGGCAAAAGGCGCCGAGCGGAGCGCGCGTGCGACGGCGTCCGCGAGCGGAGCCTGGAGTGACTGACCGACCGACCGACCGCCTGCCAGCCTGCCTTGTGGGGGGAGGGGTAGCCTGCGAACAGCATGGCGGCTGGGCGCGAGCCGCCGCCGCCGCCGCCTCCTCGTCATCATCATCTCCCTCGGTTCCCTGCCAGCCCCTTGGCCACCGCCGCTCGAGCGTCGAGGCCCACCGACCTTCTTCTCCCTCTGCCCCGCTGACTGACAGAAGAGGGAAAAGAAGAGATACAGAGGGAAGGAAGGAAAGAAGCCTCGCCCTACCCGGCCCATCTCGGCCATGGAGCTCGCCAAGCCGGTTTTCCCCGCGCTGCCGCAGCCCAAAGAGGACTCCGAGGTGAGCGAACCGTTCGCCCAGCCGGCGGGCGGCACCTTGGAGCTCAGCCGTCGTCGCCCGTTGGGGGAAGCTCGCGATCCCCCCCCCTCCCCATTCTCTCTCCCCAGCTCCGGACTGGAACCTGGGGAAACCACCTTGTCACACGTTGTCACCACCTTGTCCTCTCTCTCTTTTTTTCCCTCCCGCCCGCAGCCCTATTTAACAGCCAAACGCGCACAGGTGTTCCACTTGCTAGGCAGGTGGGTGGGAAGCAGACTCGCGTTGTAATGGATCGGCTGCGTTAAATAAACATTTCCTCGCGGGTCACAAGGTTTGTTTTGAAAGCCCGTCCTCCTTCCTTTTAAATATCCTGTTGCCTTTACGAGGAGGAGTGACAGGAAAAGAGCCTCGGTCAAGGGAAGGCGCCTGTGATTCCTGCATGGTTTGACGACCCCCCCCCCCCCAACACAGCATGTTTCTCAAGGCAACAAACAGACTAGACTTTAAGAGATGCAGTGTCTTATTTTAGCCTTTCAGGGTACATGAATAGAATCACATTGGTGCCCTGTAGTATCTTCTAGGAACCCTCACACCCATTTAATGACATGCACACACAGCACTACTACCATCTAGAGTTCTTTGAGAAAACCCTATTAGGGAATTTGCTTAAAGCAATGCAGGTACCCTCCAGGCATCCCTTTTAATATCTGGATACTATAAAATGATCCAGTTGTGCCCCCAAATCTATTTTAATCCTTTGAACATTGACACTACAGTCTGTCACTTTTTTGAGATAAGAAACATGCCAGAATTGCATTATCAAAATTAAAAAAAATGGAACTGTAGAAAGAACAGCTTCTTGACACCATTAAGACCTGTGGCACGGCTCATTTTATTTTGTATTCTTGCACTGCATCCTACCATCCTTGCTCTCTCTAAAATGGGAAATGTCACTCAAAGGTTGCGCATTCTTGTGACATGCTTCAGTATCTTACATTGCTCCTACTTATATTTCTATGCTTCCCTTTATATCTCTGTATATATTGAATGCCATCACAGCAGGGGATAGCAGTTTGACTAATCTTGAAGAAGCTATGAAGTTTCTAATCACTTTAAATATTGTTAACTACTTAACTTTCAGACTCAAGGAGCTGGAATACCATAAGCTGTTTTTATCTTACAGTTAAAATTGGTACACCTTTTCCTTCCAAATTGTTTTTGAAATGTATAATTTTGTAACAGTTGTACAAAAAAACTTAAAATGATTGTGCAATAAAAAAACAAAAAGATTACAATGGCATAGATGATTACACAAACTTTCTTTAATTACCAGAGCTGTGGGGACTAAATCTTCATAAATTTTACATTTTGAAAAATATAACATAGAATACTGCAATTCGCTGATCAGAATTATAGCATAAAAACCTGTGTTGGTCCACAGGAAGGGGGAAAAATCCAAATATAGATTGTTAATTCCTTTATTGGGACCAGCCAGAATTGTTTTCCAGGCTATTTAATGATGAAGAACTCAGAGCTTTCATGCTCTTTTCTGCTATTTTGATTGGTTTCAATTACGATATTGTCCAACTGTGGATTTTGGATAAATGTTATAATAGCCAAGGCATAGTTTTCAATTAAGTCAAATTTAACAAGCAAGAAGGAAATGCAGTTGAACTCAGTAAAACTGGGAGAAATAGACCTGACTGCTTTATCTTTCTAACTTTTGATGGAGCCTGCTAAAAAATGATGATTAATATGGTTCCGGAAGATTTGGACCTAAATGACAGTTGGTTAGAAGATAGAATGTGCATGGCAGTTTTACCTTTTTTTTTATGGAGCCAGTTCTCTGTACCCTAGTATGACTTCATTTGATAGCTCCAATAGACTATCTACTCCAGATATTGGACTAGATATTTATCAGCAAGGGATTTTGGAACAGTAGAAGGTACTAATTTTCTATTATTCTAATATTGGCAGTTCATACAATATATCTAATATAAATCCATAATTAGCATTTTCTGCATATTAGATGAAAGTATAATGCATATTTGCAGTGGGAAATAGGATTTTTCAACAAACCCCCCCCCATATGAGAAAGTATATTTAATCTTACTACTTTAATGTGTAATAACTTTTGAGAAGAGGAAATAAACATTGGATTTGCCATTAACCGGTCTTTGTCCATTATTTAGAGCAAAGTCCATTATTGTCTGAAATTTAGGCATTAACTTAGATATAATGTAGTCCTCTGTTAAACTGCTAGCCTTTAAATTGAGGCTTAACATCTTAGCCAATTTCAGATGGTTCTATTTTTTTAATCAATGATACTGCAAAATTAATTTTTACTCTAGCTTCTTTCAACACTATGTTACAGCTGAGTTCCAGATATTCAAAACACTCTGGATAAGGTTTACTATTTCTGTTTCAAGCCCAAAATCGTGTATGTGCAGAATGCTCAGCATTGGAGAACACTATGAGTAATGTCAGAATTGCAAACTAAAAATGGCCTTTTAAGTTTAGACCATTTCAGTTTTGAAACATTTTGCATTACGGAAAATGTCAATGATTTGCTAGTTTTCAAATAGATGTTTGTTTCTATGAAATTGTGGAGATCTGTTTTAGAGACAATTAGTAGGCAGCTTAGAATGTGCATCTTAAACCAATTCTCAGGATAATATAATAAATTAATTGTGTTTTTGCAAGAGTCATGTAATATTGAGGATCCAAATTAAGACTATATTGCTTTCTGATTAATCTGATTCTCTTTATGATAGTCTGTATTTCCCATGTCTTTGTCTGAATTTCTCACTCTAGGAGGAAGGATATATGTCATTTCCTTTATAATTTCATATTCCATCCAGCTCTTGCAAAGTAATGGTTATAATGGACAGGGCAGCCTGCTTTTTCTGCTGCTGCTTTTTAATAATTGTATTTTATAAGTTTAGCTGTATATTTAAATGCCTTCTACTTGTGTCTGAAATAAATGCTCTGCTGTTATTACTAAAACATATAATTTGCTGTTTGCTATCATTAAGCATTTCAAAATATTTATATTGCAATACTGTTCTCAGCTGTAATGACAGATAATCTTAAGATTTATTTACTTATTAAATTTCTATGCAATTTTGTTCACTAAAAGTCATATCAGATGAACTATTGCAGAGTAGTGTGTGCTTTTTATTAGCACAAATATTCCAGGTAATCGTTTTTTTTTTTTTACTATATATTGGTCAGACATTTGCAATTTTGGGGGAATCAGTGCTCTTTTTCAATTGCTACCTGTTTTGTAGTATTTAATTTTTTGTAGTATTTAATGCTTACATGCTGTTCTGGTGTAGAATCTCTATATTGGCCTTCATTGAGCATGTATATGGGCAGCAAATTGATGTACAAAGTGAACTAATTCAAAATAAGGGGAAAGTTCCTATATGTCACAACCTTTTGTTAGTTTTTTTTTAACATTCATTATTTGCTGACTTAAGAAATTGATTAAGCTAGAGAGGCGTAACTAGATTTAAACTGCACTAAAAGTGTGGCTTATTTGTAGCTTATTGTGTTGCATGTTGATGTTGAGACTTATAAAGTGAGGTTTATATTATTTGTTAATATGATTTTAGTCAGTTATGATAAATAAAATGATGCTTAATAATGATGGTTTAGCACAAAATGTGCAGTAGACCTATTACTAGTAATATTTAACTCAAGGCCCTGACTTGCAGAGAAAGTCATTAGATAGTGGGAGATGTAACTGATAATATTTAGGAAATTAAATTTCTGAAAATCAATTAACAACATAGTCTTAATATTCTTAAAATTGGATTTCCTCCTTAAAACATTTTCCATGGTTATTTACACATTTCTTTCCATAATAGTTCTGAATCACTAATATTTCCTCAGGTTTGTTTTTTTTTTTTTTGCAAATTGGTAATGGTACATAATCACATAGAATTTCAGCTGGGATTCAGTGCCCAGATTGTATTTTGGTTCATGTACAAATGAAAAATCTCACTTTGGGTGAGATTAGGAATTCTTATGCCATTACAATCCTCATAAATTATATAAAATATTTTCCAGGATACTTTAGTAATGAAAAATTATAAGATCAAACCTATAGCTTTGTTAGCTTGTTTAACTTGTCATTTTCATCTTGCATTTTTTTCCAGAACCTCACTATTTTGACTGGTCTTATATTCAAATGAGAACATGTGTTTTATTTCTTCTACTTAGGATTGGACATATCCAATGAGAAGAGAGATGCAGGTATGAAAGTTTTATTTACTAGGTATTTGGGCTGCTGCAGGGCTTTAGCAACTTCATGAACATGTATGCTGACATCTAACATTAGGCAATGGAGAAATTGATGTGGCAAATTCATTTCATGTTACATATTGCAAACCATAAATAAAGGGGAGGGCGGGGGAGAAGTCAAACAACACTAAGGAAGGATGGTTCTTATAAAATGTCTGAGAAATTTTCCTAAAAAGTAGTCTTTTTATTATCTACTTATTACCGTAGATTTGTAACCAAGAAGCTCAGGGTGGCAAGGGATTACAATACATTATTATCCTTTTGATACCCATTCGAAAGAGTTAAAGACTCTAGACCCTAATCTGGCCTTTTCTTCTGAGCTGTACACATAGTTGCTAATCTAGGCTGTTCCAATAATCACTACCTCTGCCAGTCCTGAGCATTATATATTCTGTACACATTTCTGTCACTCTGTTCTTCTGCATTCAGAGGACTGGAATATAGCTATATACTCAAGCCTTGTGGAGCAATGGATTATTAAAAATGAATTGTCACAAAATAGTTACCGCAGCTATTTGTAAAATTTCTCAAAACAGAACAGAAGTGAGGCTATCATAATTTTAAAAAAAACTTGTTCAAGAATTCTAGTCAAGTCAACAGGTTAAAATCTCAAGTCTGTTTTTCTGAACCCATAATTTTTTATTTCAATGCCCATTTCACAAAAAGGTAATTTGAATAAGATACCTATGCTACCAGAAACTAAATGAAAAGCAGAGATAAAGACTAAAGTCTAATTGTTACACACATTCCCAATTTCCCATCATAGGCAAAATATCTATATGTAATGTGTACCATACATTCATGCTGGAAAATAAGCAGACAGATATGCACATACACAAATGAGCACAAAAGTTTTATCACACTGAAAAAAAAGAGAATCACTATATTCTGCTCATGCACATTTTTTAAAAAATGGGCAAGTGTATTTAGCTCAGGCATTTAATCTTCATTTCATTCCCAGCCTCTTAGAAAATGTGTAATCCTTTGGGGATGCTTTGTGTCCACTATCTAAATTGGTATTTTTTTAACCTTAGCAACTTGAAGATGTGTAGACTTCAACCGCCAGAATTTTCAAGCCAGTATAGCTATCTGGGAAATACAGAGAGTTGAACTCCATACATCTTCAAACTGCCAAGGTTGAGAAATGCTGCACTAAATATAAATGTTCTTTTTTCTGGTTAGTTGGGCACAATTCTGTATAAAGCTCAGGGTTCTCTATTAACTTTTTTGAAATGAAATACATTTTTCCAGACTACACTCCACTCTTTAGCATGAATGTTTCACTGTTAATATTTTTGTAGCTTAAAAAAAGCTAAAGAACCTAATGGGCACTTAGGGAGACATAAGCATTAAATTAAAGAACACAGGAATATACATTGTCTAGGTTGTTTTGCCTTTAACTGTTGCATGGCAGGCAGAAACTCATTTTCTTACTAAAAGATGCCATGAAGAAAAGTGTGGTCTATTGAATTTTCCTTGTAGGCAGAAGCACCACCAGAAAAAGTGTTTTGATAGAAATGTACCTCGGATATAAATTACCAAGTTCAGAGGAAAGCAAGGTGATACTGACTGAACAGGAAAAAATAAAATTGTGAAAATTGGACTTGGGTTTAACATGTAATAAAAATTGGACTGAAAAATTCAGTTTTATATATATAGGGACAGTCTGGAATAACTTGAGAGGTGTGTATATTTTTCTTTTTTCAAATCTTTGAAGGTTTTGAATTTCTTCTATGGATTACAGGATTAGTCCAGAATGAATTTGAGGAGGAAAAGAAGCACAAGATATTATAGCACAGAGGCACACAGTTCTTGGCATTTTAGTCTGGGTTGCAATCATACTTATTCATGTTCCTTTCTTTCTTTTTCCAAGAAAAATGTACCAAGTGACTTCCCAGCAAAAAAGAGCAAATTCATAAAATTTATAAAACAATTATTGTACTCTGCCTGAGTTCATTAAGCTTGACCAAACATGAGGTTATTATTTGAATTCTGGCCTGGCCTTTGGGCACAAAGATCAAGAAGTTTCTCTTGTGATATAGCATGTAGTTAGGCTGTGAAGTATTTTCTTTTAGCCTTGTGCTGATTTATAAGAAAATAAACCTGGCCTTTATAAATCATGTGTTTTTCCCAAGTGTATCTTAACAGGGCCAGAAGTAATTTAAGACTAATCTTGATATTGCAGTCATATAATTCTTATTACACATTAATGTTGCACCTTGTAAATTTTGTATGTGTGTGTGTTTTCTTTCACCCATCCTCATACCCACTGTACTTTCTTTAACTTTTTTTGAAGGAAATTTTACCTGGCTTATTCTTAGGCCCATACTCTTCAGCTATGAAAAGCAAGGTAGGTTGCCTGTAACCTTTTTACACTGAGTAATTTATCTGTAAATTACCTAGATGCTTTCTTTAGGATACATTCCTTTCCTCCCTTCATTGTGGATTTTTGTCATGCATTGAATGACAAATTGAGCATGTATATCTCTTTTTAGGAAGGCTTTTTTGATTTTGTATCAATATACAATGCACCTTAATTGTTAAAAAATATATTTATCATGCTGTTCTTATACCTTTTAAATATTGTTGTAGCATTTTAATTTTTTGCTGAGTATCTCTGATTTCTGCCTGGAGAAAGGGGTATAGGAAACATTTCAACAAAATAAGAACATTATTGTAGCATTGATTGATTTAAGAGATATTTATACTTTCTGAAGATGCACTGTTTCATTATAGAACAGTCAGAAGTTCATCTATGTTATACGCTCTTCATGGTTTTTAGCTTATTAAATTTGCTTTGGGCAAAGAGCCTAATCAATTGAGCTCTTATAGAGATGCTGAATATTTTCAGCCAGGACATATATTGGGGGTGGGGAAGAGAGGAAAGAGACATTCTATATTGCTATTTTAGTGTAATCATTATATTATTTATTTGTTAAATTTGTTTGTTGGCGATCTCATATATAACTGTATTAATTACTTAATTAACTATTAGCTACTAAAATGCCGTTCTGTTTTAAATTTTCTTTCTGGCTTGATATCAGCTATACGTTGAATTTTTCCTTGTTCATAATTTTGTTTTACAGCTACCTACGCTTCAGAAACATGGCATCACTCATGTAATATGCATAAGACAAAACATTGAAGCGAACTTTATTAAACCAAACTTCCAGCAGTTATTTAGGTAAGAAAATCTTAAATTAATTCTGCTTTCAAAACAATGATCATGAACCTTTGTACCATATGTACTTTTTTAGGATACCGGGTCTTACTTTCTTTTGGGCTTGAAAATAAGCACTTGGGCTTATTTTGGGGGAGGTCTTATTTTTTTTTAAGTGCAGGAGATGGCGAGTGCAGGTGCCAATGGGATTGGAAGTGCAGCTGCTGCTGGCCCCGCCCTTTCCCACTGTCTTGCTTGCAACGGGTCAAGCTCTCGGCATGCCCTGGGCTTCACCTGCCCTGCCTGCTGGCCCAGCTGCTGTTGGAACACTTCTTGACCACAGCTGTGGCTACCCATGCTGCTGGCCTCATGGGGGCTCTTCGCCCTCCTGGCAGGGCAGGTGAAGGCTGATGTGAGCCAAGAGTTTGGTCCTGATTGAGGTCATGGGCAAACAGACAGTGGGACGGAGAAGGCAGGATGAATGATAGCTGCCCAAATACTTTTCACCCAGAGGGAGACGAAGCTTTGTCTGCTTGCAATAGAATAGAATAGAACAGAATACTTTACTGGCCAAGTGTGATTGGACACACAAGGAATTTGTCTTGGTATAAATACTCTCAGTATACATAAAGAAAAGATACATTCGTTAAGAATCAAGAATCATAACGTACAACACTTGATAGTCATAGGGTACAATCAGCAATCAAATCATACTAGGAAACAGTCAATATAAATCATAAGGATACAAGCGACAAAGTTACAGTCCTACAATCACAAGTGGGAGGGGATGGGTGATAAGGAGTGATGAGAAGATTAACAGTAATAGTAGTGTACACTTTGTAAATAGTTGAACAGTGTTGAGGGACTTATTTGTTTAGCAGAGTGATGGCTTTCGGGGGAAAACTGTTCTTGTGTCTAGTTGTTTTGGTGTGCAGTGCTCTGTAGCATCGTTTTGAGGGAAGGAGTTGAAACAGTTTATGTCCGGGATGTGAGGGGTCTGTAAATATTTTCACAGCCCTCTTTTTAACTCTTGCAGTATACAGGTCCTCGATTGAAGGCAGGTGGGTAGTAATTGTTTTTTTCTGCAGTCCTAATTATCCCCTGAAGTCTGTGTCTGTCCTGTTGGGTTGCAGAACCAAACCAGACAGTTAAAACAAAGGGGATGCTTTGAAACTGAGCTAATTATTCCATTTCAAACCGTCCCCTATGCAAGCAGACAAAGCTTTGAGTCTCCGTCATTTCTCTGTCTGGGAAAAAAGTGTTTGGTCACCTATGGGGTGCTTGGGAATGGAACAATTTAAGCCGTTAGTTTATAAACCATTTGCTGGACCAAATGTGCTATGCTGCAAAGAGGGGCAAATTTATAACAATGCAGACTACAGGGAGTCCTCAACTTTGGACAGTTCATTTAGTGACCATTCGAAGTTATGGAAAAAGCGAATTATGACCGTTTTTCACATGATCACTATAGCATCCTCATGGTCACATGATCAAATTTCAGATGCTTGGCTGGCTCATGTTTACAATGGGGTCATGTGATCACTTTTTGTAATCTTCTGACAAGCAAAGTAAATTTGGGGAGGTAGATTCATTTAACAACTGTGTTACTAATTGAACAACTGCAGTGATTCACTTAACAACTGTGGCAAGATAGATCATAAAATGGGGCAAAATCACTTAACAACTGTCTTGCTTGGCAACATAAATTTTTGGCTCAATTGTGGTCATAGGTTGAAGACTTCCTATATTTATCTTTCTACTTCGTATTATCTATTGGCTGACACTAATTCCTCAAGATTTTAGGTAAAATTCTATTTGGAAATGGTAGGAATAGAACTTGCTATTTTGAAGTAATGTAGAATAAAAAAAATGAATCCTTGTACTATGACCTCTTCTGAAATTCTCATTTAATTTTATTTTGCTCTGTAGAACTCTATGTCTAGCATATTTAAAATATTTAGCAGAGAAGGGAACATCAGAATATGCAGTGGCAATATAAAAAGTTTAATCTTTGAAAGTAGGGAGTAAACCTACTCCCACTTCCTTAATGAGCTCCTTGATTTAATGCTTTGTGGCTGTTTAACACTCTAGAAAATGAATGGTCCTGACTATGTACTTAACACAGTTATTTTAATTATAGGTATTTGGTCTTGGATATTGCTGATAATCCCATTGAAAATATTATAAGGTTTTTCCCAATGGTAAGTGTCCATCATCATGTGTTAAATTATTTCATAAGAGTACATTTTAGAACTGAAGGGGGTAATGCTAAAGGAGTGAACAAATATCTATGATAGAAATGATTCAGGTAAATAAACTTGTATCTTTGATTAGAGTTATAATGACTAACCATATTACATGAAAAACTGTAATGCAGTGATAAGCATGGTCTATTATGACTCATAAAACATTCTTTTCTTGGTAAACATGAGCTTTATTTTCCATTCTGCAATTTACAATATAGAGCAAATGAAGTAAACGTTGCCTTCTCAATATCATTCCTTCATATAGAACCTTTTCATACCAATAAACGAAACATCAAATACAGCTATATATGGCTGTTTTATCCAAAGGTAAATGTTTTGTGGTTTCAATTCTGTCCTTTTACATTTTTGCTGGTTTATTTTGTTGAATAAGAAAAAGGATTAAAGTAAAATTATTCGCACGTACATTGTGAAAATATAGTGGAATTTGATTTTTTTCCAATCACATGCAACCTGTAATTGATATCATTCTCAGTGGTTATTTTACTGTGAAGAATATGATTTAGAAATGTCCAGATATTGAGTTCCCTGATATAATTGATGCACTTATTTTCATATTGGTTCTCCCTAGTAGATGATATTGTTCTGGAGCAAGCAGAGCAGATTTTTTAAAATGGAGGCAAGGGATTTTAATATGCATTAAGCATATTAGAAAATTAATCCACCTATTTTTCCCTTAAATTCATACCGAAAATTGGTAGGGAGTCCTACCAATGTTATTGAGAAGTTTTCCTTTGAATTTTGCTCCTGGCACGATCCAGTAGAGCAGTGATCCCCAACCTTTTTTACGCCGCAGCCCGATACTGGCATCAGCTGGACGCCGCGGCCCGGTACCGGCATCAGC